GCAACTCTGTGGAATCTTAGACTAGAGCCACTCTTGTCAGTAATAACTGTGATCTGAACAGCCAGTGTAATCCTTGTAGTCATGACATTGTAAGCAGCCACCAACTGGGCAGAGGAGGCAAAAATTTCATCACTCTCAGTTGAACGGTCCAAAATTTGTGTTTCCACAACTCCCTCAACACTCAAATGTATTTGGTTGGCGTGCAGACAGCAGAATATTACTAAGATGGCACTAAGCATAAATAAAGTAGAAGATGGTTCCACTTTAAAAATGAGACGGTGTCCCAATCAGCCATGATGAAACCAGGACACACCAGGTTGAACCATCCTGAACCAGGAGTTGTGTTTTGGATGCAAAACATCCCCCATACATTTATGTATTTGAATACTTGGTTCACAGCTGATGATGCTGTTCTGGGCAGTTGTGGAACTTTTAAGAAGTCTAGCTGGAGGCAGTGGGTCCCTTGTGAAGAGGGAAGACAGGCACTAGGTGCCATAGTACGGGCCCTACTTCTGAGCCAACCTACTCTCCTTCCTATACTTTGCTGAGATTTGAGCGTGCAGCCTCATGATCCCGTTGCTGGGCCTTAAGGACTAGACTTTCTCAAACCAGGAGCCAAAAGAAATACTTTTCCACTAGGTTGTTTCTGTCAGCTGTTTGGTTTTAAGCAACGAGAGAAGTGTAATTAACACTGGAGACATCTCTAAGCTATAATTAACACGGGTCTATTTGCTTCCATTTTTATAATCTTCTATAAAGAATTGTGAATAAAGGTTTTCTTAAACCTTTGCACAAATACATGTGAATGATGTTATTTCAGAGATCTCTACTGGTCACTGACTACCTTGGGGTAGATTCCCTTAAACTGACCTGTGAAATTTGGGGTTTATTGTGGTGGCTTTAACCATAAGCTCGGGTAGTTGAAAACTTGGTCTCTACCTGGTGGTGCTGTTTGGGGAGGTTGAAGAACCATTAGGATGTAGAACCTTGCTGGAAGATGTACATCACTGGGGGAAGGCCTTGAGAATTTGTAGCCCTGGCCCCATTTGTAGTTCACTGTTTCCTGTGTACAGCTAAAGATGTAACCAGCCAGCGTCGTGCTCCAGCTGCCTGCTGTCATCCCTCCTCTGTGCTTATGGATTCTGACTCTGGAACCATAATCCCAAATCAACCCCTTCCTCCATAAGTCACTTTTGGTCATGGTGTTTTATCACAACAAAGAGAATTAACTAATACAGCTACACTTTGCCATTTTAAAGGAAAACAAACCTGGTAGAAATATTTCTGTTTTAGTTTCATTGCTGTTGTGACAGATATCCAGACAAAAAGTAGAATAGAAGAGGAAAGGGTTTACTTCGCTTACAATCTCATGCTCAGCTAGCTTTTTCCATTTTCATACTCTTTAGTACCCCTACCTAGGGAGTGGTGCCACCCACAGTGGGCCGTGTCTTCCTATATTAATTAACAAATTAGACAATTCCCCACAGGCATGCCCAGAGACTAACATGATCTAGATATTCCTCATTAAGACTCTCTTCCTGGGTTACTCCAGGTTGTGTCAAGCTGGCAGTTAAAACCAGCCAGCAAGCTGCTTTGTTTCACATTGCTGTTTAAAGCCCTAAACTCATTTCCCATTGTTTACCTATAATGGGATAAAATCCACCCTCCTTTGTGTGTAGGTTAATTCATCACTGCAAAGGGAATACTTTGTGTCTCTTATGCTGCCTCTGCCTGTTATCTCATTACACCAAACCTCCCTTTGAATAAGGCCACATGAGCTTTCTATGGTGGCCATAAGAGATTACCATAATTTTGGGGACTTTATATAACACTCATTATCTTATTGTTCTGTGGTTTGGAAATTCACCACAGGTTCTAGCTCCCTTTCTGTTGTAAAATATTCTGACAGGAAGCAACACGGGGAGGAAAGGGTTTACTTGGCTTTGGCCCCTAGGCCACAGTTTGTCATCACAGGGCAGGAGCTAAATCAGAAGCTTAAAGCAGAAACCTTGGGGGACCATGCTTGCTGGCTGGATTGCTGGCTTTTTCTCTGACTCATGCTCAGCTACCTTTTTATACAGCTCAGGCCTCTTGGCTGAGGAATAGCGCCTCCCACAGTGGATTTGGCCCTCCTTTATCAACTAGCAATCAAGAAAATGCCCATATTAACCAGACCTGAAGTCTGCCTTTTCTATAAAATTAAAATTGGCATTTAGAACAAAGGCTGTTCCCATTCAATTTTACACTTTGAGTATAGAATATAGTTTATGTACTTATGGCTAATTAGGGTGTGTGATGCTTTTATTTATTTGCAAGGTTTTCTTAACAACAAAATTCATATATTTTTTAAAAAGATCAATGCCCCACAGACACAACCACAAGGCCAATCTGGGCTGGGACATGTAAGTTGACAATAAAAACTAATGTATCTAGGCACTCTTGTATCTTAGTGGGCTAAATGTGGAACACTGGTGGAGGAAGAACCTTCTTCCTTGCTTTTGCAACTGCCCATATTGGCTTGTGAGACCCTTTCATCTTCAAAGCTGGCAGCAGCCCATGGAGTCTTCCTCAAGACACCACTACAGAATTCTTCCTTAGCCTTTAAGAGCCCTGGGATGACACGGGGCACACATGGATGATTCAGAATTATCTTCCTATCTCAAGGTTCTTTCTTCAGCAAATGGAGCAAGTCTCATCATGACCATGCACGGAGGCATTTTCCTGCCCAGCATTAGAGGTTCTTTCTATATAGAGGACCTACTTCTTCACTTAAAATACTCTGAACCGATTCTCAGTATTCCCAGAAAGTCCGTACAAAGTCACAGCTTTCACAAGGGCCTTTCCTTCTCCAAACCCAAGGAGGCCATTTTTCTCTGCCTCTTTTCAGGCCCACACACATATACGGATTGCAACACTTATTTTGTACTCTAATTGATTTCTCTTCGGGCACATCACGCACTAGATAGTGTGAGTCATGATGTCTCACTCATCCTTGCAGCTTCTGAAGCCTCGCCATAAAAGTTTGTGGGGAAGAAAATTTAATGTGATATTTTAATGCATGAAAAGACCTCAGGTGGAGGCAGAGGCAAGGCCAATAAATTTACAGAGCCTCTGTTTGGAGCATAAATGTTAAGTGGGTCTGTCAGCCTTTAATTAGTTATAATCACATAACCAACCAACCCCTATTCTTTTAACCATTCTACAGAGTTATCACAGCCGATTTCAAATCAACCATTTGTACATTAATGCTGATTTTAACTATAATATGATTGGCTGTGGAAACTGTCAGAATTGTAAGTGTTCTCCTGGATTTCGCTAGAAAAGACAATTTGTACCGCAAATGATAGAATGGATTCTAAGTTAGGCAAACACTACTACCTACATAGTTTCTGAATTCACACAAACACACTTGACTAATGACGCTAAACGAGTTAGTCAGAGATTGAAAACAATTAGGTTACTGCAAGTAGTCACTTGGTATTTAAGTGTTTGGAAGTTCCTGAAAAAAATTATTAAAAGTTCAAATTAAACAATAGCTGTGTTACTTAAATTGTCTTAAATTTTTCAACTGTTAGCCAAAAAGGGTGAGGAGTGGGGTTTGAATAAGGTCACACGAGTGTGGGGAGATTTATTTTTAAAATAAATGGTCTGTTATCTACATCTAGGGTCACTCGCAAAACCACGGGACACAGAAATACCAACCCAGTAACACATAACACCTATGTGCTCAGCTCCTGGCTATGAATCAGAAAGACACAGCTAAGGAAAGATCCTTCTTGCTTCTTTCTAAACAGCATGAAGAGTGGGGTATATGGAGCGATCGTGGCAGATTTTAAATGGGGTGCATCACACAGAACCAGGAAATGTAACCAGTCACGGGCTGGGTCCCTCAACCTTGTAAATACTGTAATAGATGTGCATCGGTAGCCGTAGGGGGAAGTTGCATTTTTGTGTATTAGCTCAATGTCTGCAAACTACCCTGCTCTAATTTAGTCTCTCCTGAAAATAATTCTTTTTCTATCTTGCAATTTTTCATCCTGAACATTTTACTATGTCGAGTATAGTAGCAACTTTAAGAAAAAAAAGTGTTTCGTCTAGAAAAAAAAAAGTGAGAAAACTTCAAAAACCACTGTTTCTGCAGTGCTGTTTCCAAGTTCTTAATATAAAGCTAGCGCAAAATAAAGATTGCTACAGTAACCACACTTTGAACAAGTGTCTTTCAAAACAATGACAACGGAGCCATAATATTTTCTACAGGGTGAGCAGCTAATGCACCTGCAAACATTTTCTTTTCTTTCTTCCAGTTTGCTTGATAAACCTTGGAATTTGCGATCCCAGGCTATTTTAACGAGGGAGACAAGCAATGCTCGGTTTTAAAAGGGATTGACTCGGCATTTACTTTTTTAGCCAAAGAAGCACATTGCCCTATTCCAGGCCACGAGACAATTTCGTGTCAACTTGCTATGGTGGGAAATGCGACAAACTCCAAGAGCTCCCGTGACTAGGAGGCAGCTCTTAGCACCGGCTGCTTCCTACACTCCTGCAGCATCAGGACGCGGCTCCTCGGCGCTCCCCACGCCGCCTTCCGGGCAAAGGCCAGTACACCCCTTTCTATGTCTGGGGAAACTGAGGCACCGTGACAAGAACGATCCACAGCCCGGCGAAGAGCCCTGTCTGTGTGGCGTCCTCCTTCTCCTGGGAGATCCGGGAGGCTCTGTGCTAACGCTCAATGAACAGCGCACTCCTGGCCCTCAGAAGGTTGTGGCACGAGACTGGAACGCGGCTGTCCCCAACCCGCCGGTCCCCGCCCAGTATATATTTCCAAATCCTGCCACCAGCCACGAGCTGGGAGCGCAGGGCACCTCCAGGAGCTTAGCCTCCGCTAGCCCAGGCGTCCGAAAGTTCTGCAGCTCCGGCGGCCGCTGACCACAAGCCCGGCGCGGGGCTCCCTCCTACCGTAGCCCGCCGCCCAGGCTCGCCCGCCCAGTGCCCTCACTGACCTGACACTGCTGCGCCACTCGGGTGGTCGCTGTGCGCTGCTCGCCATGGCCACCCGGGGAGCTCTGCAGCACCGAGCGCGCACCAACCTCCGCCGCCGCCCGCGCCTCTTCTCTATGCGGGTTCCGAGCCCCGCCGCCGGGAGCCGGAGCTTCCCACCTACGGGTGCCAGAGCCGGCTAGAGCCGAGCATGCCCAGTGCGGCTCCCGGCGGCGCCGAGGTCCGGTGCGCTCTGCAGAACCGGGTTTTCGCGGCAGCCACGGGCAGGGGCGGGCCGCTGCGGGCGGTGGGCTCCGCCCACTCCGGGTGGGCCAGGCAGTCTGCCGGAGAGCATCATGCTCAGCGAGCCCCGCCTCTGGGCGGGGCTGGGCGGTCATGGGCGGTGCTCCTGCGAGCCACTGTGACTCTTCCACCAGACTCTGGTGACTGGTAATTGTCGGGGGCAGGGCGCTGCAGGCATTGTCACCGCAACTTTCTGGAGCGTCGCGTCGCAGTGGCGTTCAAGGACACGGAGGCAAAGGCGTCTTCGAGTGTCATCCTGGATGCCACCGGCAACCAGCCCACCCACATCTTAGCCTAACTAGTCTCTAAGGTTGTTTTGTCACACCACCTCGGGAGCAAGAGCATCTGGGGCCTCCTAGGCGGTCAGGCTGTCACAGCAAAAGCACAGTGGACGCCTCGAAGTGACACGGATAAGACACAGCAGGATGTTTGCAGTGGATTCTGAGTGACGGGGTTCTGCGAGAGTTTATAAAACTGCCCCTTAAAATTATTTGCAGTTTCGACATTCTCTCTAAAGAGCAGTTAAGTTGTTGTTTTGATGGGAAAATAAGTATTCTAAAAATATTTTTAACACCTTCATAAGTTTTCTGGGTACAGTCCTGCAATATTAGTGGATCTCTCCCCTGCCCTCCCACACCTAATCATCTATATTTCCATATCTATCTATCATCTATCTATCTATCTATCTATCTATCTATCTATCTATCTATCTATCTATC